AACACCTGAAACGTTTTGATGTTAATGGTGCCATTTATCTCAGCCTTAAGTGGTTGTTGTGACTCCTGGTTATCCCTCAGAGGTGGAAGTCCTATAAATAGGACTTAGAGCAGCAAGTGAAAGACACACAACATTTCATGCTCTCTGAATATTCTCAAAGCCTCACGCATCATATCATACTGCTCTGTTCTCGACTTCATTCCAGTTCGTCAGAGCTCGAATTCTGGTGTGCTACAGCGTTCGAGACGTAAGCCGTTGTACCTTTGGGGGCGAGACGCCTGTACACGGGTCGTTTTCGTCTTGCGGAAAGAGCAATCGCCTCGGCTATTTTCGCTTTCTATTTTGTAATTTTTCGTTTCTGTTTTAGTTCAAATTGTAAGAACTGAACACTTCAGTCAGTTCATAGGTTCCCGTTGTAAGTTCAACACTACATTGTGTAACACATTTCTTGAGGAAAATTGCTGATATTCGGAGGTTTCGGTTGTTTAGGTAGTGGATATGTTTGGCTGTGGACTACCTGTCTGTGCTGTTTCTTATTCCTGGTAAGATTCTACTTAGTACTTTTTTGCCTTTGGCTGGGTTATTTAACTATTAGAATAGCCTACACTATTTGAAAATGAATACAAAAATTAAAAAAAAAAAAACTTTGCATTAACCATTTCGATTGTGTGTTAAGCATAAAGGAGCTGGTAAACGTCGGAATGAATGGTCTCCTTTTCTCTTCATCTGCAGAATTGGCCGACGAACTCATGGTAAGCTTCTCAAGATTATGGATTTTGAAAGAGCTTTTCAACATATTAAACATGTGTTTTATTTGTTTGTGTTACACTTTTAATGCATAGTAGGACATTAGAGTACAAATTTTTCTCATCTAAATTGTTGTACTTTGTTTCCTTTATTATCTTAATTATCCTTCTGGAGAAATTAATCATTTTCTATTTTAATCTTTTGTCATTTTTCTTGCAGTTGTTGTTCGAGGGTTTTCCAGAAAAATGTGATGCTTTGAGGTCGATGAGGTCAAACTTGATGGAAATTGTTTCTTCAGATAGGTGGGCAACAACATGGGACGAAAATGCCAAGCCGTTGATATATGGGGTCGAAATTGAAAATCGTCTTTTTTAAAAAAAAAAAATTATATATATATAGATATACTCGTTTTGCTGCCATTAACTTGTCCATTTTTCGGATGACTGTTCATTAGACCATTGCTTTTACAGGTGATATCTCAAAACTCCAGCTGAATGTGAAGCATTGTCGAAATGCAAAACGAAATCGAATCCCTGGTAAATATCCTTCTTTCCTTTTTTTTTTTTAAAGACTTTCTCTCATTGTACAGATAATGCAACCCTCAAAATGGTCTAGAAGTGTACCGAGTTACTTATCTAAGGTTTAATTACAAAAACTACCCAGAGGTTTAGCTTAATCGGAGAAGAGCCAGGCTACCTTTGAAACTTGATATTGATTTATCTTTTTATTTTATTTTATTTTGTTTTTTTGCAAATATATGCTCAAAGGGGAGTACGCATTTGATAGTTACATTACACTTTACACGGATCTGAAGGTGGTGTTTGGTAGTCGTAATATCTCAAAAATAGCAAGAGTTCTCTGTCATTAAGCTCATCCGCAGGGGTTGTTTTGTGATTATTGCTCATTGTTTCAGTTTTTTGTTAATTTCGAATTTGATTCGGGTGCATCTACCTTGCAGGAGTTCTCAAAAAAAAAAAAAAAAGGTTATGATCGTGCGAAAGCATTCACAGTATTGCGTCTGTTCTATTTAGTTAGAAGTAAAAACAAAAAAAAAAACTCGTGCTCTTTCTTTAGACGGGTCGATTTTGAATGTTTTCGAATGTTATAATCTTCTACTTCTGCATGTAGAGTGCAGTTAATAAGACATCCTTCTATGCTATTAGAAGGGACTCTTTGCAGATTAGACCAATATTTGGAAATATGGATGACCAGTCTTTCTTTTCATGGCATGAAAAAATGAAGGATGCCATATATAGTTATAGTTAATACACAAACACAAGGAACCAATCGTATTACTGTTTATGAATGATTGTTTTTATCATTGGTTTCTAAAATAACATTGTTTTTTTTGGTTTATGAATTGTTTATGTGTGGTATATGTATGATGTTATTTTGAATGTGGTATTTAAAGTTTAAAAAAAAATTTAAAAAAATGTGTGATAAATATGTAAAGAGCCTATAAGTTAACAAATTGATATTGGGCCCATGTGCTAAATGGGATTTATTGGGGAGGAAAAATCTGAATGAATAATCTACCTACATTTGGTTATTTTAAAGTTCCATATACATAAAAAAATACATCACCAATATGTGCATGTCACATAAGCGGTGGACATATTAATATGTGCACATCGTGGGTAAATGAGCATTACTGTATCTTGATAGATAATGCTCCCTTACCTACGGCGGGCACATGTTAATATGTCCACCGCTTATGTGGCATTCACACATTTGTGATGTTAATATATTTAAAAAATACATCACTAATGTGTGCATGACACATAAGCGGTAGACATATTAACATGTGAGTAGGGGAGCATTACTGTATCTTGATGGATAATGCTCTCCTACCCACGATGGACACATGTTAATATGCCCACCGCTTATATGGCATGCACACATTGGTGATGTTAATATATTCAAAAAAATACATCACCATTTGTGCATACCACATAAGTGGTGAGCATATTAACATGTGCACACCGTGGGTAGGGGAATTAATATTAATGTTATCTTGATTTATACTAACCAATAAACTTGAATTCGTTTGTTATAAGGCTTTATTTTATTTATTTATCCTGAAAATAAAAACCTTATAGATATTTTGTTTTTGAGATTTATTCCAAAAACTATTATTATTCTTATATACTAAGAGCATCTTTAACAATAACTCTCTATAAACTTCTTTTTTTACTTTCTAATATGCTACATAATTCAAAACCTCATTTTTATTCTTATACAGCTACACCTCCAATAACAATAAAACTCATAAACCTCATTTTTGTGGTCCCACATGTTTTCCACTCAACACTATACTCTTATATTTTTATTAATATTTTTACATCATAATTCCACTCTTTTGTACTTTTAGTATTTTATATTGAGGATTATGTAAGGTTTAAGAATACAAACCTAGTTTACATTTGTACACATTAAACTTTCTTCTTTTAGTAGTTAAAAGTGAGGTTTATAAACCTCACCTAAACCTCTTGTTAAAGATGCTCTAAGAGCATCTCCAACCCCAACTGTAAAACCAACGAAAACGGCATGGTTGGAGGGAACTCATATCTAATCAGCCCTCTGTATCTGTCGGAAACGACACCCTTGATTTTGTGGAATGGTTTCACACTCTTAAACTTTATTTTTTATTTTTTATTTTTGTTAAAAGTGAAACTGAGTTGTATCTTGTGCCCATTTAAATGTATTGTGGTTGGTTGGTTTTTTTTTTTTTTTTTTTTTT